AGAGAAAAGAAGTTTTTCCTTATTTTAATGTTTGAATGTTGTGGGTAAAGTTGTTTTTTTGGAATGACCGCTGGTAACATGCCAAACTTAGAAATGGTTGGTAAGCAAAATAATCGAGTTTGCCGCAATGTTCAAATAAAACCATAATTATGTTAACGCGTTGAAAGCTCCTTAGTATATAACATGTTATGGTTAGCATCGATCACTAAAACATCAAATACAATACAATGTATACGTGTATAACAAATGGGTTGCCGACTATGTTGCTAGGCAACGTCTTCCCAGCATAAATGTCCAACATAAATAAAACAAATAAAATATACAACATTTGATATAGCGCCCTACCTAGCTAACATAAGCCACTCTAAAACGCTTTACAGTACATAGATATACAATTTTATACAGTCAATACAATTAGCATATATATTAATCAAAACAATATTGAAGAATTCGCAGGAGCTGCCTTATCGGGCGCTAACTACTAGTCCTATGCCACCTGGCTAATATCTCATTATGTGTGCATGCCTGTGTGTGTGCTGGAGATGTATCCATGCAAATCTGGTATAAAAAATCCAAGCCGGGACCTAAACGCCCATAAATGCACATTCTTACTTCAAAGGAACGATAATTTGAATGATGGTATATGACTGAAATATAAATATATATATATGGGCGTGCATCTTTAACTTTTCTAATAATTCAGGGGAGGTCACTCTGATACCAACTAGCCATATCCGGAAATTAGCCGATGACATGTCGAGTGACACGGGAAGATTGCTATGACGGATTGATGGTAAATGTGGCGACTGCATACACAATTTGTGTTAACATATCATCACAGTATCATATATATCGATATGTATACAGCGACCCACGAATGGCCGTAATAACATATTCTGTATGTCGGTAACCAGGAGAGTACAATGCCATTTGTCCAATGTCTGCTGTTTGTTATTGTGACAAGAGTGCAACTTGTGTATTATCAAATGGTGACAGTTAATACAACACTAAATGAAACCACCGAGCATTGAAACAATGAAATCCGAAACCACTTAAATGTGTTTTGTTTGTGGTACTTACTGTTTTGTTTAAAATAGCATGTCATTTAGATCTAAAATGGTCATCCTACGTATACATAAACCATGCACGTGACCTTAATTATATAATATAGACATACATTGCATATACATACTTATTGTAATAAGCGGTCATAGCCACAAATTATATAATAAATAATATTCATGATTTAAAATACACTTCCAAATTAATTCAGTTGACTGTGTCTGCCCTTTGAGATTTGATTGGTCACGTTAATGACTACATAAACATACATACTGTTGATGTCATGAAGACATGCATACATATTAAATACATGTCATGATGTGTAACAGGTCAATTTGCTGAAAGCTATCAGAACCTGATTATAACTTTTCCCCCCTGATTTGTCTAGAGGAAATTTTAGAGTTTGCATTGATGCCAGACGTTTAATACTGTGTTTTATTTCGGTCTAAATTTTACAATAGGCAGCTACTACATGAATTGGGAAAATATTGCATTGTTTTCATTAAAGTTAGGAAGATACAGTGTATTCCTCATTTTTTTCTCACTTTGGGAAAACAAAGCACTTTTTTTGCAAGGGACACAACCTGTATTTGGCTGTAAAATTAGGTAGAAAATCACTGTAATTGGAACCATTAATTGTCAGAGATACAATTGTAACGACTGCATGACTTGAAATGTTCCTTGCGTATAAACATAGCTTTAACCAGGAAAATAAATAAAATAAATGTTTATACAGGTTTCCACAGAAGTTCGTGCCATGAAATGATCTAAATGTAATACTGTATGTAATGTAATACTGTATGAAATGTAATACCGTATGTAATGTAATACTGTATGTAATGTAATACCGTATGTAATGTAATACCATATGTAATGTAATATCGTATGTAATGTAATACCGTATGTAATGTAATACTGTATGAAATGTAATACCATATGTAATGTAATACTGTATGTAATGTAATACCGTACGTAATGTAATACCGTATGTAATGTAATATTGTATGTAATGTAATACTGTATGTAATGTAATACTGTATGTAATGTAATACCGTATGTAATGTAATACTGTATGTAATGTAATACTGAATGTAATGTAATACTATATGTAATGTAATACCGTATGTAATGTAATACTGTATGTAATGTAATACTGTATGAATGTAATACCGTATGTAATGTAATACCGTATGTAATGTAATACGGTATGTAATGTAATACCATATGTAATGTAATACCGTACGTAATGTAATACCGTATGTAATGTAATATTGTATGTAATGTAATACCGTATGTAATGTAATACTGTATGTAATGTAATAC